TAGGGCTTAGGGTTCAGGGTTTTAGGGTTCGAAATCCTGAGCTCTTAACTTTACTATCATAGATTTAGGATAGCGAGTTGACGTTTTAGTTCTGGGCCTGGTGCCTGACCAGTGTTGAAGGGCTTAGGGTTTAGGGGTGGAAGAATCGTTCGAACTCGTGGGGCTTAACTCTAAACCCTGAACCCTGAACACTTAGTCTACGGTCTGGTTCATACCAGTAGCCTGTAGAATCTCTAGGATCTAGACACGTAGCCCTGCACCTTGAAGCCCTCCCGTTTGGAACCCTTAAAAGGAACGCTTAAAAGGGATCCTGAAAGGAAGCCTCAACAAAAACAAGGAACCCTAAACCCCAAACGCTACACCCTAAACCCTATAAGCCCCATAAACCCCATAAGCCCCATAAGCCCCTCAAGCCCCATAAACCCCATAAACCCCATAAGCCCCATAAGCCCCATAAACCCTATACCCCTAAACCCCATAAACCCCAGAAGCCCCAAAAGAAAACCGAAGCAGGAAGAGCTAGAGCCCGATCCCTTCAGCCTCAGCGCTGCTCTTGCTGCAGCTTGGCATCAGGGCCCGTGAGGGGTTTAGGGTTCGAGGTTTGGGATTTATGGATTTAGGGGTGTAGGGTTTGAGGTTTGAGGTTTTTGTGGGTTTAGGGGTGTAGGGTTTGAGGTTTAGGGTTTATGGGTTTAGGGGTTTGGGGTTTGTGGGTTAGGGTTTGTGGGTTTAGGGGCTTTAGGGTTTGGGGTTTAGGGTTTGTGGATTGAGGGGCTTTAGGGTTTGAGGTTTAAGGGTTTATGGGGTTTAGGGGTTTAGGCTTTGGGGTTTAGAGCGTCTGCTTAAGTAAGGGTCTGGGGTTTGGGGTTTAGGGGGGCTCGCATTTGGCTCGAGTTCTCCGCCGTCCCTTGTCGAAGTACGGAACACGATGTTTATTCAGGCTTCAACTGCAATGATGCGCCTTCCCTTAAGGACGAAATGAACCCTAAAAGGGTTTAAGGTTCATATACCATCTAGGAATTCATAGTATGAGGGCATAGGGCCCTTACTTTGAAGGGTCATTTCGTCCTTAAGGTCTTATCAAGCCGGAATAGATATGTGGAGATCTGAATACTCAGTGGTAGCATGCCCCTACAGCCCCGAGATGTATTGCCAGACCAGGCCACCTTTTTCTACCAGTTATAAATGGCCTCCTTCAACATTGGTCGGCTGTTGAAAAACGCGTCAGACGATTCCCCAGTTCTTGTTAAGGACTTTAATCTAAGTTACCATAATAAGGAAACCAATTCTTTTACTATGGATCCCTATTGTGGTAACTCAAAATAAATCCCTCCAGGAAGTTAGGTATTGAGATCCACAGGTTTAGGGTTTAGGGTGGGTGTGAAACCCTAAACCCTAAACCCTAAACCTAAACCCCAACCCTAAACCCCAAACCCTAACCCCAAACCCTAAACCCCAACCCCAAAGGCCCCAATCCCTTTCTAGTCCCACCCCTAACCGGGTTTAGGGTTCAGGGGGCATGACTGACGCCTGGATTCCCAAGTTCGAAACCGCAAAACCCAAAGCCCCAAAGCGTTTCCCCCAACAGAATCAACTTGTCAAAGCACCTTACAAAAGTTGCAGTGGCCGACATCCCAAAAGCCTTGGCCCGCGGTAGGAGTGCTTGCAGGGCTTTGCGGGTTGGGGGTCTGGCTAGGATTCGAGGTTTTGGCGGTTCAGTTTCGGTTTCCATGCAATTTGTACAGTTGCTTGCAGTTGCAAGACATGTTTCATTCCGAAATCTAGATCTGTAGACCATACGGCTGATGCACAGAATCTTGGACTACCTGGTGCACCCTCTGCTATGGGAACTACGGCTATTTTCCTCTTCATCAGCTGTACCCTAAATCCTAAAGTTTAGGGTTATACCCTAACCCGTCAGCCATAAAGTCCTGGAGTAGTTCCCTAAGCCTTAAACCCTAAATCCAAGGCCTATGACGCAGGAGCAGGAGCAGGTACATTTGAGCGTGGTTTGGGGAAAGGGGTGGCTTGATGGTGGGATCGTGATATTTCGCATAAGTTTTCTGGCGTTTACAGGAAAAACCGAAGCCCTAAACCCTAGAACCTAAACCCTAAACCCTGACCCTAAGCCCTAACCCTAAACTCTGGAAAGAGTTGGGTGTTTGCAGGCTTGAGGACAACTTGACAGATTCATGGACCGCAGGCAGTAGGTCATGATCGGACATATTTTGCTGAGAGTGTATAACTTTGACATATTGCTTGCGCCCATAACCCGATAAAGGAAATACAAGGGTGCAAGTAATAAGTGGTAGTATCCCGTTCATTATCACCCATAAGCCCATGAAAGAAGTTGTTGCTATACTTATAGTATGCCCTGAACTCCATTCTAGTTATTCAGACCCCTAAACTCCGTACGGCCCTTTTCTTGGCTTCAGAATATGTTGTAGGAGTTTAGGGCTTAGGTATCTATCGAAGTGAGTATCCGGACACCGAAGGTGCGTCCTCTGAGCCTCTTCGTGATGGGATCCAAGAGTCTTTCGTGGCGGCAGTGTTATGTAATGATAGCAGTAGTAATAATAAAACAACACGAACAAAAATAATAATAGTAATAATAATTATAATAACAATAACAGTAATAATAATAATAAATAATAATAATAATAGTAATAGTAATAGTAACAATAACAATTGCAATAGTAATAGCACCGATAATACTACAACTAATAATTAGAATAACGATAATAATAATAACAACAATACTAATATTAATATTCGAATGAAGAAAAGATTAGAATAATAATATAACAATACTAATTTAATAATATTATTAATAGTAACAATAATGATAATAATAATACTATCAGTATTTTGAATAATAACAATAACAACAACAAACATATTAATAATCTTCATGATAGAATAGTAGTAATAATAATAATAATCATCATCATCATAGTAATCATAACAACATTGGGGCTTCCTTTGGTCTTGGGCTTTGGGGTCTTAACGTGCAGAGCCTCGAGGCTCTTGCCGTCTATTCATAAAAGCACTACCCATAGGCTCCATAGCAGCTCCTTTTTGGGATTACCCTTAGGGGTTTAGGGTTTAGGGGTTTCTGGGTTTAGGGGTTTAGGGGATTAGGTTACCCTATAGGATCCTAAATTTAAGCCACAAAAAGGAATTACCATGGAGCCTATAGGTAAGGGTCAAGGTCGGGCCCAGATCCTGACACATCAAACCCCTATAAACCCCCAACCCCTAAGCCCTAAACCCCTAGCTCCTAAACCCTAAACCCTAACTCCAAAACCCTAAATCCTAAAGCCCTAAAGCCCTAAACCCTGAACCGTTAGCCCTTAACCCTAAACCCTAAACCCCTAAACCCTAAAGCCCTAAAGCCTAAACCCTGTACTCCTAAATCCAGAACCCTAACTCCTGAATCCTAAACCTGAAACCCTACACAGTCAACCCAGACCCCTCAACCCGAAACCCCTAAACCTCTCAACCCGAAACCCCCAAACCCCTCAACCCGAAACCCCTAAACCCCTAAACCCCTAAACCCCAGACCCCTAAACCCCTCAACCCGAAACCCCTAATCCCCGTAACCCCGAGACTCTAAACCTCTAAACCCGAAACCCTATGAAACCCGATAAGCCCTATAAAACCCTATAAAACCGTAAAAGACCCTATAAAACCCTATAAAACCCTATAAAACCCCATAAAACCCTATAAAACCCTATAAAACCCTATAAAACCCTATAAAACCCTAAGCCTTGTAAACCCCCAAACCCGAAACCTTTTACTCCTGTCCTGGAAGCCCTGTGAGGCTCTCGCCACCCGGTTTTCCATCGACTGCTTGGGGAACTTGCCCAGACTGCTTTCCATGGCCTGGCAGAAGATTTCGCGTTTAGGGTCCGGGGCTTTGGGTTTTTTTTGGGGATTTGGGGTTGGGGTTTATAGGGGTTTAGGGGCCCAGGGTTTGGGTTTTAGGGGTTTTAGGGGTTTGGGGATTTTGTGGTTTAGGGTTAGAGGCTATAGGGTTTAGTAAGCCGTAAAGCCCGAACCCGAAACCCTGAACCTGCAGTCCTCGACCCCAACAGTATCCGAAAGCATGGCGCTTTTGGCCTCTGCCCTCACGCCTTGCCGCGCAAGCCTCGCACCGTTTAGGGCTTAGGGTTTAGGGTTTAGCAGAGGTAGCCATATCACATGCCATCAGTTGGACACCTTAAACTCTAAAGCCCCCAAGCCCTACCACGCTCAACCCTCAAGCCCTTTGAACCTTGAACCCTATACCCTAGACCCCTGAACCCTAAACCCTCAACCCTAAACCCTCAACCCTCAACCCTAAACCCTCAACCCTATAAACCCTAAACCCTAAACCCTTTTTAACCCTGAACCCTAAACCCTGAACCCTAAACCGTGCTATGGCTTCCGACTTGGCCGATGCGGTGAGCGCTGTGACGTTTAATGCCAGCTCTGGCGCTTCGAGAAGAGGCGCTGCGTGCCTGCTAGGTTGAGGGTTGTAGGTTGGGTTGGGGTTTAGGGTTTAGGGGTTGTAGTTTCAGGGGTTTAGGGTATAGGTTCTTCAGCATTTCTGGTTGTTGGGTCAACGGGCGACCTGAAGATATTTAGAAGTTGGGCTTTCTGGGTAACGCGGCTGTGATGATCAACTTCTTTCCATGGAGGTGCCTTGAACTTTTCCGACCTAAACACTAAACCCATGTGTTGCGAGACATGCTGCAGAAGGTCGTGAGTCAATACTGCACCTGTTTGAGCAGGATTGGCAAGGTGCTGGAGGATCTCTAGGTGCTGTAGGCTCAGTTTGGGTGTCCATTCTTAAGAGTCCAAGCCTGGTTGAAATCCTGGGGAGCTTCTATGGCTGATATGGAAAGTGTGTATTGTCGCGAAAGCTCGAGCGCTACTCGCATAATGCAAGGCTTGGCCCAAGGCAACACGTCGAATCCAGACACAAAGACACAGAGGCCTCTTGCGATATGGCAGCCATGCGCTTTGTGCTACTGGCCTTCATGGTCGCAGGTGCTGAGGCAGGAGCTTGCACCCCCGTGAACTCCTGTCCAAAGCTTTCCGACGGCCTCTATTGTCCCGTCAACGACGTCACCGAACATGCCGACATCAATCGGGATGTTAAGCTGGTTAAAGACTACTTGGCTGAGACCCCCCTGAACTACGCAATGGCCAAGCAGGTGTACACCGCAGGCAACTTCTCTTCCAAAGGGCTGGGAAACATGCGAACTCTCCAAGACCTGGCGCAGAAGGACATGACCGTGGATGGAAAGTACACCAACGTCCCCTTGCAGAACCGCAAAGGGCCATAAAAATCTCCCTCAAACAACCTATATGTTGTTTTTGAATTTTTTGGTTTAAAGGGTGCATGATCCGTGCTTTNNCCCCGAGACGCAAGGTTTTCTACAGCGGTGCCGTCAGCTTGTATGGCTCAACGAATGCCGTGTGGCATGACTACATTATCGCGTGCTTGGACGGGACAGGTGTTTGTGAGGGCAAGACGGACTCTTTTCGGCAGTACGTCATCAACAAGGGACTCATTGGAGTTGTCACGGCCTACGCCACCTACGAGTTCGGTGCAGCTGTCTGGAAAGGTGAAAATGGAGAGACGGCGGACGGTCAAGCAGCCTATGCTTGGGACGAAGGTGCTGCTTTCTACATCGGCAACATCGATCCAGTAATCGGCGACGGCTACACGGGTTCCGCCCCCGGCAACCTCTACTCGCCCTACGAGTTCAACTGGAAGCGCGACGTCGACTTCCCCGATGGCACCTCGACACACACGGAGGCCGTGCCGATTCTGAACTACGGCCTCATCAACCTGCGTGGAGATGCCTACAATGCT